CAATCCTGTCTCGGAGCTCTACGGACAATTCCTTCAACCTTATGGCTTGGTTTTTGCTCTGACATGCACTGTCAACTGTGGGACCGTATATAGACAGGTGTGCCTTTCCAAATCATTATCATTATGTGTAGATTGCTTTAAAAAAAAAAATCTGTTTTAGAATAAGGCTGTAATGTAACAAAATGGGAAAAGGGAAAGAGTCTGAATATTTTCCGAATGCACTGTACATGTTTGGCCGACTCAAATGAAGATAGTATCGTTGTGGTTGGTAAAAATGTGCGGTGTTATGCCAAACAGTACCTATCCTGTAATGACTAATGGAGCATCACATTAGCCCGTTACTAGATAGCATAGCTAGTAATTGTGTCCATGTCCAATTCTACCTGTGTGTGGGAAATTAGTTTGAGGTGACTTTTCTTTCCTCAGTGGGTCAATAGAGGCCAAACTCATATAAATAGAATGACTAGAACTCATACTAGTTCTGTACCCACAATTCCCTGAAGTGTGATTCTGGATGGTCAATCTGCTAATGTTACTGTATCTTCCTTTCACACACTGTTCTTGGTGCTGAGTATGGAAGACTTTTTGCTTAACCAGTACAGTTACATCCGCTGATGTTGACACCCAATTTGCTTACTGGCACAAGATGTTCTACTGTGATGGAACTCAGTCTTCTGCTGCCTTTCACTGTGAGATTGTACGTACACACACAAATTCTCACATGCATGCTCACCATCAAAGGAGGTACTGAAACTTGGGCATAAGCAACATTTGTTTTTTTCTTAAAGCTTTGTATGGTATCTTCACCATTGTTGAGTAACAATTATATGTTTACAAATGAGGGGATCCTTCCCTATAGCTCTCATGACAGGCTTAGAATAAAGTACAGAACAAAATAGGTTAAAGGGCATATTCCTAATTTCCTGAATGTCCCTCTAGCCATGGAAAGAAATTCATGAAATCTATTTATGACCAAAATGATATTTTTAAGTAAGGTTTTTGAATTAGGCCTCTTCAGGAATCAATGGGTGTATATCATGAATTTAAAAGTAAAAAAAATTGATGTAGAAAACGCAGATATCCCCTTTAAATTTTATTTATTTATTGTGAATGCCTCCTATGATTTAAATTCCACCAGTCTTTGAGAACAGTGGCACCCATTCCCTGGACAAAGGTACCTGATAAGCTCTACAGAACATTGGACTTGGAATGAGCGAGGGAGTGAGGTTACTTTAGGTCAGTGGCCCACAGCCCAAAGATCCTCATTCACCCAGTCAACTCAAGCTTTCAAACCAGCTGCAGCTTTCCTGTCCTCTAAAGTGGAAATTATTGTTAGCCTAGGACACAGTACATTGACCAGTACATTTGAATAGGCAAAAAGTATTTTAAAGGAACAATCCTTCCTTAGTTTTTCATCGAAACGGCAGCCCAGCCACTTGTTTTGCCATAACTTAGAAATGGGCCTGGAGAAATGTAGGCCTAATCTCTCTCACATTCATAGATGGTGCTATGGATACGACTGACACTCCATGATATCAAAAAGCTAGTTTTAAACTTATTTTGAAGCTTGTTTACAAACAATGGAGTAAAACAACTAAAGCCTATTTATTTGGGGTTGTCAATAGTGATGGGGGAAAAAAAATAGATAGTTACATATCACTATTATTTTGGACAATATTATATTGATAATTTGACTCCCAAGAATCGAGTTGTAAAAATGTGTTTTTAGTTTTTGCTAGGTAGCGTTAGCTAGCGCTAGTCGGCTGTACTTGCGTCAAAACTCTCGTATTTTTCATCCTATAGCTTGTTCTCCATCTTTTTTAAACGGTGAGCCAACATGTTTTCAGGACTTTTACTTCCATGACTGATCTAAATGAATTTTCTCATGCTCGGTCTCTCAGCAGCAGACATATAGTGAGCAATATGTTTGGAACATTAAATCGTAGTATCTAATCACAATGCATCTAGAATTGTGAGAATAGCAATACATATCGCATCGGCACCGACGGTTCTTGTTAATATCATAACGTTAGGTCCCTGGCAATTCCTAGCCCTAGTTATCATGGTAAGACGGTTGTACTAAGCTCATGCGGCATCTAGCATAGCTGTGGTTCTTCAGAATCTATGAGAATTTTGAACAACGGTGATTCTCATGAAACCAGCTTTAACCATGGCTTAGCAAATTGAGTTAGAAAACCATGGTGCATCTGCAACAGTCAACTATCATTCTCTAGTTGGTAGAGCATGGCGCTTGCAACGCCAGGGTTGTGGGTTCGATTCCCACGGGGGGTCAGTATAAAAATGTATGCACTCACTAACTGAAGTAGTGTCTCTGTAGCTCAGTGGTAGAGCACGCGCTGTACGCCAAGGTAGTGGGTTCGACGGACCACCATGACACAATTTTTTTTTTTATGCACGCATGACTGTAAGTCGCTTGGATAAAAGCGTCTGTAAATGGCATATTATTATTATATTTATTATTATTATATTATAAGTCGCTCTGGATAAGAGCATCTGCTAAATGACTAAAATTTAAATGAAAACTAAGATGCCTAGTTTATGGCACAGTGTCTTTATTATATATTTTTTTAAATGTCACCCCAAAGTCTCATTACCAAAGTGCGTCCTGTGTTAAATTCTCAGGTCATTTTATAAAATGTTAATTTAGAAAAACCTAACTTATTTGAATAAAACACTGTTGCTGTAGTTTGGCCATAAATCATAATTGTATACTAGTTGAAGTTTAAATGAAACTATAATATTTATTACTAAACACTGGACATGTTTCTCATTAACATAACACTTTTAGAAGTTCTGTAGAACTCAATTTTTTTATATAATTTTTATTCACCAATGATGCATCATCCAGAAGAGTAGTCCTTTAGTTGAGCACAAATTCATTTAATTTCTTCAATTATATGCCTTCAGAATGAGGAGATATATATATTATATATATATATATATATTTATTTATTTATTTATTTATTTATTTATTTATTTTTAAACACTTTACGACACTTGACCTTCTCATTACCGAAATGACTAAAAAGCTCAAATTGGGGAAAAACTTAGAAGCACCTTACCAACGTGGAGGCATGAAACTTTAGTGATGTGGTCAATTGTTTGCTGACTCATAATGGCGGTCTCCTATTACTTGTAGATTGAGCTAAGGGCCTTTCATTACCCAAACACAAATGTCTCATTACTACATAATTTTTAGGTCCGTTTTGGTAATGAGAACTTTAATTTCGGTAATGATAATAAGATAATTCTAATGTACAGTCAATGGGTGTGCTGTGCTGTTAACTTTTAACTATTTACTAGGGACACTGCTTACACCTATTGTATCTTTATTTATTTTTAATGTATTAATATTTTTGTGCAAAACTTTAGTTATTTTATTTAAGTAGGGGTTGTCAAGAAATATGGGTGTATAAACCCCATTTTAATTTACCTAAAGCCACAATCTGGAGTTTGTTTCAGCAAAGAGCAACGCCGCAACTTAAAGGAGTATTTCTCCCATTTTGACATTTGTACCTGTTTTAGCACTTACCTATACTGTTTGATATACCAAGACAGTTTTTGGTCCATATCCTGCATATTTAGATACTTTATAGGCATATCATGTTATGCCATTTGCCCATAGGAACACATTCAATTTAGAAATACATTTAAAATACCTTAGAACCACACACATCCACTTACTAATACACCAATATTACCCTTCTGTTAAGAGCTTGGAGAAAGTTTTTTAAAGTCACTTTTGAAAATACATAAACAGAATTACAGTACCTATGCTAAAATAAGGGATGTTTTAGTAAATTGCGTTAAGATCAGGGATTTTAGTATTATGCAAGTCATGACACAGTTTATTGGGTTGCTGAATCTCTAGTAGAGCTCAGTACAGTTTTTCAATGGCAAACTATGCAACACTCATTACTGAAACATGCATGCTCATCTCTGAAACCTGCTTATAATTGTTCAAATAGACATTTTTCAATGATCTAAAAACGCGTAAATATATTCACTTATGTTGAAGCTTAGACTCTACTTTACATCTGAGGTTTTTGTGTTGTGCCTGCCATTGGTTGAGACATGCTCTTGAATTCAAGGTGGGTGTCATTTCAATTATAGAAATATAAATCAAATTTTATTTGTCACATACACGTGTTTAGCAGGGTGTAGCGAAATGCTTGTAGAGCTAGTCACGAGGCCGCCATCTTCGTCAGCGCCAGGTATACTCCTTGACCTATCCATTTAGACCACTGCAATTTAGCTGGTAGACCATTGAACATTTTTATTGACTTGAAATGTGAGTAAAATGGTCGCACTGTAGAGCCCTGAAATGTGTCAACATATTTGAGTTGTCAGCTGCATAGGCTATTCTCATTGAGCGTGGCAACATACTGTTAACCTTTTATCCACTCTGTCCATCGCTGTTGTAATCTGGGAAGACCTAATATTCCCAAACTGGAGATTTAAACTAGTTCCTTGCTGCGCCTCACAAAAGCACAGTTTCAAATGCGCCAATTAAGAGTAGAATTTTTATTACAACGTGTGTTGTTTTAACGGAATAGCCTGAATTTTTTTATTTTCACCAGATTTACTGGAGGCATAGCCTATAGGCCTACTAGTGTTTTAATTTTGTACATCTTTTTGTTCTGTATTAATTCGGGTTCAGTGTGGACAGACCTGAGGTCCCCGTACCGAATGGTTCGGTACAAATAGTGTACTGTTACACCTTAACTTGTGATTTGTTAGTTCTCTGTTACCTAGCCTACTTTATGTTGTAGACTTTGAGAAGGCCCCTTTTGTTGTGTGTTGTGAGAAGTGGCTGGTTAGACACACACTCCAAGAGGAAAAGACTTGAGCAGCACAAGGCCCTATGGGGATTTCAGAGCCATGCAAATGACCGATAGTTACCTCGCCTGTGTTCCCGTTTTGACCCTGCCTGCCTCCCTCCCTTTCCTCCCTCTCTCTTTCTCTCTGTCTCCCACAGGATATTTGCTAGCAGAAGGGTTTGCTTCTCTCTCTCAAGATATTATTGAGTCGTAAAACTTCCACGAGACCGAGGACAGAGGGATTGAGTATTTTTCTTTTGAGTGGAACACAAACAGGCCTGTCCTTAAAGCTGTTTGTCTGTCAATGTCAGGGTAGCAGCCACATTGAATGAGGTTTCAGTCTCACATGGACAAGATGGATAGATCATAACAAGACATTACTTCAAAGGTATGTTGAACCCCAGATGCCCAGTTCAACTGTCTCGCTGGTCAATCTCCTAAACACACTGACAAGTTACTGACATGCAATACACTTGTGCCGCTCAAACGAATAACAGGTCTATGCTAAGTAAGTCTGTTTAATTTAGTAAATGTTTTATTATTCCTACATTTGCCAAAATGGTTTAGTTGAATCAATGTCAATACCTGAAGATGGGGCAGACGGCAATCAGCTAAAAGTGTTTTACATTATAGTAATTTAGCAGACGCTCTTATCCAGAGCGATTTACTGGAGCAATTAGGGTTAAGTGCCTTGTTCAAGGGCACATAGACAGATTTTGGACCTTATCTGCTCGGGGATTCAAACCAGCGACCTTTCGGTTACTTGCCCAACGCTCTTAATCTAGGCCACCTGCCGCCCTGCTGTTTTCTTAGTTGATCACGTTTTAACAAAGCTGATGTAGGAAATATACTGGCGTTTTGTTGCAGGTACAGCCAACTAGTGGAAAAATAATATTGTCAAAATTATCCGATATATCTCAAATAATATCCTGATAAGTAACTATTGTTCCCCCCCCCCCAAAAAAATACGGTTTGTTTACACTTACGTTGTTTACAAACATTGGAGTAAAGCAAGCTTATTTGGGGTCCTGATGGGGACAGTTGAACTAAGCTCATGAGGCATTTATAAGTTATGTTCTTCAAGAATCAATGGGTATCAATCAATCGTTCCACAGAGTACATTTCACATCCCTTTGATATTTTAAAGCCTGTTATATTAAAGTAACTGCCCTTTAATATAGACCACATGGACAATTCAATACATCAGATTTGGTTATTATTCTAAACTCCGCCACCAAACAAGACCAAATTTGGTTGTTTTGGACCGGACCAAATCTGAACCAATCATAGACGTCTATTGCAGAAGTTTGGACATCAAAGTACAGCACACTATAGCTCAGAGTATAGTCAAGTACAGTAAAGTATAGTACAGTACATTATAGTGTACTCAACGGGTCACGTTAATGCATTTTTCACACAATTTCTCTTACCGCATAGGAAATATCTTGCTGGATTTTGTAAAGGCAGATCTAAAATGCTACATATTGTAAGCACTAATTTTGTACTAAAGTTGCACTTCTCCACTCGGATGAGGATTCACAAATGGGCATTATATCAGCAGACAACACTCTGAATGATGTGTAGCTACTTTTCTCAGTGTAGCCTACTTTTCTCCAGGAATATGCAAGATTAACTTCAAGCAAAACATTTGTTAATGTAGCTGGCTACATTCTTTCTATGATAAACATTAGAAATCTGAAGGCAATGCATAGTTTTTGCAAAAAATACCTTGCTTTTTCATTGTAAGCTAATTTACTTCTGATGAAAATGAAGCTATTTTCTGCCGAATGTGTTGCACTAATGTATTTTCTGTGAAGGAAAACTATAGTTGCACGCCCCTGATCACTCTATTGAAGAAGAAAAACATTGACTTTCAATATAAATGCAGGTGAAATGGTTTAAAACGCAGATTTGTTTTGAAGGTCTGCGTTTTCAAAATGTAGATTTCTGAACTCTAACGCGACCCCTGCTCAACTCTATTGTGATCTACTGTGTACTAAACTCTACTCCACTCTATTCTACTGTACTGTTCTGAACTATACTCTATAGTACAGTAAAGGAAAGTATTGTATTTCTGTGAAGTACTCTACTTTTCTTAACTGTACTATACTCTTACTGTACTGTCCAAATGTTTGAAACCTAGACGTCCATGATTGGTTCAGATTTGGACCGGACCAAATCTGAACCAATTAATGGACGTCTAGGTTTGGGCCAAATTAAGGCTAATTTAAGGACCAAAAAAACGTTTGTGGACATGGAAATTAAGGCCAGGGGACGGGCCGACAATTTCAACTACAGTGCCTTCAGAAGGTATTCATACCCCTAGACCTTTTCCAAATGTTGTTACAGCCTGAATTTAAAATGGATTAAGTTGAGATTTGTGTCACTGGCCTACACCCAATACCCCATAATGTGGAATTATGTTTTTAGACATTCTTCCAAATAAATGAAAAGCTGAAATGTCTTGAGTCCAGTATTCAACTCCTTTGTTATGTTAAGTCGCATGGACTCACTCTGTGTGCAATGATTTTTGAAAGACATACAATTGTCTATAAGGTCCTTCAGTCGAGCAGTGAATTTCAACTACAAAGACCAGGAAGGTTTTCTAATGCCTCACAAAGGAGGGCACCTATTGGTAGATGGGTAAACATGTAAGAATATCCCTTTGAGCATGGTGAAGTTATTAATTCCACTTTGGATGGTATATCAATACACCCTGTCACTATAAAGATACTTCCTAACTCAGATGTCGGAGAGGAACAGTGGTGGAAAAAGTACCCAATTGTCATACTTGAGTAAAAGTAAAGATACCTTTTAATAGAAAATTACTCAAGTAAAAGTGAGTCAACCAGTAAAATACTACTTGAGTAAAAGTCTTAAAGTATTTGATTTTAAATCTACTTAAGTATCAAAAGTAAAAGTATAAATCATTTCAAATTCCTTAGTAAGCAAACTAGACGGCACCATTTTCTAGTAAATAAATAAATAAAATACGGATAGCCAGGGGCACGCTCCAACACTCAGACATAATTTACAAATGAAGCATGTGTTTAGTGAGTCAGTCAGATCAGAGGCAGTAGGGATGACCAGGGATGTTCTCTTGATAAGTGTGAATTAGACAATTTTTCTGTCTTGCTAAGCATTCAAAATGTGAAGAGTACTTTTGGGTGTCAGGGAAAATGTATAGAGTAAAAAGTACATTATTTTCTTTAGGAATGTAGTGAAGTATAAGTTGACAAATACCCCCAAAAACGACTTAAGTAGTACTTTAAAGTATTTTTACTTAAGTACTTTACACCACTGGAGAGGAAGGAAACCGCTCAGGGATTTCACCACGAGGCCAATGGTGACTTTAAACGTTACAGAGTTTAATGGCTGCGATAGGAGAAAACTGATCGACAGCATTGTACTTACACCACAATACTAACCTAAATGACCGAGTGAAAAGAAGGAAGCCTGTACCGAACAAAGGGTGAAAACTCGACCGCAGTTCCGCAATTAATTTTTTTGTTGGTGTATGTGACTCAGCTCGGTTTGCAGCCCCGGTCCCAGCAATTTTGCCACCCTAGTCAAAATTAAAATTAAGCAAAAATAGTCCTTAGATATATTAGGTTAAAATACCAGAGATTCTTACGTGGCCCATTTCATATTAGACTAGCGGTATTATTGGGCTATATCAGCCAGTAGGGTAGATATAGTTTGAAAGAGAGTAGAGTTGGGGCTAAATATAGGAGAGTGGACACTTACTTGACTTGAGCTACGTTTTGCATAACTGGTGGTGGCAGGTAGCCTAGCGGTTAGAGTTGGGACAGTAACTGAAAGGTTGCTGGTTCAAATCCCCGAGCCTACAAGGTGAAAACCTGTCTGAGCCCTTGATAAGAGCATCTGCTTAAATGACTAAAATGTAAACTGGATGATTTTCAAGCAGAGTAAAATGTATTTCCAGTCGGTGTTGGAGTCTAAACTATAGCCTATCATATTTAGGAAGTTAAAGACAAGTGCGCTGTGCTTCTCTGCCCATATAGCCTAGTCTACAGGCTATTTAATTATCTCACACGCTTTCTACTTTTTCACTTCTGTATGGCATTTTCCTTTATTTCAAGTATGGTCTATTGGCTTTGATATTATAGTTATATTATTATTTTATTACCCCCAGGTGCAGATTGATTTCGTAATGACAAGCTGCTGTGCAGAAGATGTCCACACTGTCTGCGACTGATATCACAGATGTTGGTCATGGTAAGAGCCCCATGTTTTAGTCATGATCTGACTGGGTACTTGTCCTTGTACTGTTGATGTGGATTGACATTAACTCCCATTCATCAACTGGGGTCTCAGTCCACCCCACTTGTCATTACACTGGTTGGGAGCACTGACATTGTAGGTCACGCCACATAATACACTACAGAGTTCAATAATTTAAGCGACAATTTTAGATACATTTTTCTAAGAATACAGATTTAAGAACTTGAACTGGCTTAGTCATGTTTTGAAAATATTAAATGTTTCAAGAAATGAAATAGCTTAGTATTATTACTTTCTTACCTTGTCATAATCCAAAACCCATCCGTTGCAGAACATAGCGTTACCAGCCGATCCACAGTAAAACAACTACTTCATAGCTTCAAGTTGTGTTAAAAAATTATAATTGTATTCCTTTACTACTACAGATAGGCCTATATCATTGACATTTAGGACTGTTTTCAGGTGGAATTGTTGCATGTAGTCAGGGCACATTTAGGCCTAAAAGTGAACGTCTCACAATCTTGTGACTTTAATATTAGAACTGAGTGTCCTATGTGAAAGGTGATGTGGCCATGTATGATTTCAAAAGTAAAGCCACAGCAAGTGACAGTGAAGTGGTCTAACGTCTCAATGTGTAGGTTGTCTACCCATTCTGACCATAGTGGGCGAAATGTTTTTTTGTGTTATAAAATACATTTTAACATAATATCCAAAAAGTCAGATTTCGTAACGTAATACATCCGATAATAAGCACCGGGCTCTGTTGACATAGCTGTGCAGGTTTCCCGTAACAACTTTTAAGGATTTAACATTTTGTGGTTGTGTTCAAAGTTGTTTCCGTGGGTCGCAAAAAGCTAAATTGGCATGACACGAGCAGAATTAAATGTAAAAGGATTTGAAAATAAAAAGCTTGGTATACGCTCAGTGCTCGGTTGACATTTCAGACATGTGTGTTTTTCTAAGAAATATTTGAAAAATAACAGGAATTTTGAATTAATATGAAAAGCGTATACTAAAATATGAAAATACTACATGACATGCCTCAAAATTGATATCCATCTTACCGCTATATTGTTTTCATGTCCTGTGGAATTGAGAAGAAAGATAACACGTTCAACAGGAAAGTGAGCCTGTCAGGTAGCCAGTAGCCTTAATTCTTGCACAGAATCCAGCCTAGCTGTCGGGGATTGTGCCCAACTTGAGTACATTTTGAACAGATTATGATAGGGACATGCGGTTTGGACCGTTGATTTTCTTAGAGGATTATCTACACCAGCGATTCTCAACTGGAGGTTTTGATGGGGTCGCGGGTAAAATAAAATAATACTCCAGTCTGAACTTAAACGACTTAAACCAGGTATGTAGAATAATGAATTTACATTAGAAAAGAAAGTATGAAAATGTATTAACTCACTACTGTAAATCGCTCTGGATAAGATGAATGACACATTTAAATGTAAATGTTTTAATTTTTAATCTCTGAACAATTTTTCAATCACAGTATTTTCAATATAGAGCTATTAGCAGTGCTATATTTGGTAGATTTTTGTGGTCTCAAACCAGTGAGTTTATTAACATTCATCAAGAATATGGGCAATTTTATTATTGACAATGAAAGAGGTGGGAAGGTTGTTCCCTTGTCATATAATTGCTACATTTAATATCAATATAGCATAAAAAAATAGATTCCAGATTGTATTTTGGCAAATATTTTTTCTGATGTGAGTATTGGGTCATGACTGAGACAACCTGGTTAAATTGTAGTCCTGAGGCAAAACCAGTTGAGAACCACTGATCTACACAATGAACATATTATTTTACCCATTGGTCAAAATATCCATTTTTGATTGGACACCCTACAATGTGTGTTTCTGTATCGCAGGTGAGGTGTTCGACGGGGCCCCAGAGCTGCAGCTGGACTGCCTCGGCAGTGGTAACGACCGCAGCAGTGCAGAAATGAAGCATGAGGGCAACCTCCTCCCCCTGGAACCGCCCCACCATGCAGGGTTTTCCAGCCCCCCCCAGAAAGGGCCTTCCTCACTAGCTGAGAAGAGCAGCCCGCTGCCCATGGAGCCCAGCGACATCAAGGCCGACTCCGCCGGCGACATGCCTGCCAACACAGGTGCGCATGTTTTTGTATTTCAGATTGATTTAACCTTTATTTATCCAGAAAGTTCCATTGAGGTCAAGAGACCTATTTTGTGAGGGAGACCTGGCATCTGTGTGTTCAGTGATGTCATCAAACCAGTCAGACTGGTCCAAGCGTCAGGCTATTCCGTTGTTTATTTTCGACAAAGAGTCTCATCTTATATATTTTAGTGTTCATGCCTATATTTTCCCAGATAGTTCCATATAAACTCAGCAGAAAAAGAAATGTCCCTTTTTCATGACCCTGTCTTTCAAAGATGATTCGTAAAAATCCAAATAACTTCACAGATTTTCATTGTAAAGGGTTTAAACACTGTTTCCCATGCTTGTTCAATGAACCAGAAACAATTAATGAATATGCACCTGTGGAACGGTCGTTAAGACACTAACAGCTTACAGATACAGTGGGGGAAAAAAAGTATTTAGTCAGCCACCAATTGTGCAAGTTCTCCCACTTAAAAAGATGAGAGAGGCCTGTAATTTTCATCATAGGTACACGTCAACTATGACAGACAAATTGAGATTTTTTTTCTCCAGAAAATCACATTGTAGGATTTTTTATGAATTTATTTGCAAATTATGGTGGAAAATAAGTATTTGGTCACCTACAAACAAGCAAGATTTCTGGCTCTCACAGACCTGTAACTTCTTCTTTAAGAGGCTCCTCTGTCCTCCACTCGTTACCTGTATTAATGGCACCTGTTTGAACTTGTTATCAGTATAAAAGACACCTGTCCACAACCTCAAACAGTTACACTCCAAACTCCACTATGGCCAAGACCAAAGAGCTGCCAAAGGACACCAGAATCAAAATTGTAGACCTGCACCAGGCTGGGAAGACTGAATCTGCAATAGGTAAGCAGCTTGGTTTGAAGAAATCAACTGTGGGAGCAATTATTAGGAAATGGAAGACATACAAGACCACTGATAATCTCCCTCGATCTGGGGCTCCACGCAAGATCTCACCCCGTGGGGTCAAAATGATCACAAGAACGGTGAGCAAAAATCCCAGAACCACACGGGGGGACCTAGTGAATGACCTGCAGAGAGCTGGGACCAAAGTAACAAAGCCTACCATCAGTAACACACTACGCCGCCAGGGACTCAAATCCTGCAGTGCCAGACGTGTCCCCCTGCTTAAGCCAGTACATGTCCAGGCCCGTCTGAAGTTTGCTAGAGTGCATTTGGATGATCCAGAAGAGGATTGGGAGAATGTCATATGGTCAGATGAAACCAAAATATAACTTTTTGGTAAAAACTCAACTCGTCGTGTTTGGAGGATAAAGAATGCTGAGTTGCATCCAAAGAACACCATACCTACTGTGAAGCATGGGGGTGGAAACATCATGCTTTGGGGCTGTTTTTCTGCAAAGGGACCAGGACGAGTGATCCGTGTAAAGGAAATAATGAATGGGGCCATGTATCCTGAGATTTTGAGTGAAAACCTCCTTCCATCAGCAAGGGCATTGAAGATGAAACGTGGCTGGGTCTTTCAGCATGACAATGATCCCAAACACACCACCCGGGCAACGAAGGAGTGGCTTCGTAAGAAGCATTTCAAGGTCCTGGAGTGGCCTCGCCAGTCTCCAGATCTCAACCCCATAGAAAATCTTTGGAGGGAGTTGAAAGTCTGTGTTGCCCAGCGACAGCCCCAAAACATCACTGCTCTAGAGGAGATCTGCATGGAGGAATGGGCCAAAATACCAGCAACAGTGTGTGAAAACCTTGTGAAGACTTACAGAAAACGTTTGACCTGTGTCATTGCCAACAAAGGGTATATAACAAAGGATTGAGAAACTTTTGTTATTGACCAAATACTTATTTTCCACCATAATTTGCAAATAAATTCATTAAAAATCCTACAATGTGATTTTCTGGATTTTTTTTCCTCATTTTGTCTGTCATAGTTGACGTGTACCTATGATGAAAATTACAGGCCTCTCTCCTCTTTTTAAGTGGGAGAACTTGCACAATTGGTGGCTGACTAAATACTTTTTTTCCCCACTGTAGTAGGCAATTAAGGTCACAATTATGAAAACTTAGGACACTAAAGAGGCCTTTCTACTGACTCTGAAAAACACCAAAAGAAAGATGCCCGGGGTCCCTGCTCATCTGCGTGAACGTGCTTTAGGCATGCTGCAAGGAGGCATGAGGACTGCAGATGTGGCCAGGGCAATAAATTGAAATGTCCGTACTGTGAGACGCCTAAGACAGCGCTACAGGGAGACACCTGCACAGGATCGGTACATCCGAACATCACACCTGCGGGACAGGTACAGGATGGCAACAACAACTGCCCGAGTTACACCAGGAACGCACAATCCCTCCATCAGACTGTCCGCAATAGGCTGAGAGAGGCTGGACTGAGGGCTTGTAGGCCTGTTGTAAGGCAGGTCCTCACCAGACATCACCGGCAACAACGTCGCCTATGGGCACAAACCTACCATCGCTGGACCAGACAGGACTGGCAAAAAGTGGTCTTCACTGATGAGTCGCGGTTTTGTCTCACCAGGGGTAATGGTCGGATTTGCGTTTATCGTCGAAGGAATGAGCATTACACCGAGGCCTGTACTCTGGATCGAGGTGGAGGGTCCGTCATGGTCTGGGGCGGTGTGTCACAGCATCATCGGACTGAGCTTGTTGTCATTGCAGGCAATCTCAACGCTGTGCGTTACAGGGAAGACATCCTCCTCCCTCATGTGGTACCCTTCCTGCAGGCTTATCCTGACATGACCCTCCAGCATGACAATGCCACCAGCCATACTGCTCGTTCTGTGCGTGATTTCCTGCAAGACAGGAATGTCAGTGTTCTGCCATGGCCAGCGAAGAGCCCAGATCTCAATCCCATTGATCACGTCTGGGACCTGTTGGATCGGAGGGTGAGGGCTAGGGCCATTCCCCCCAGAAATGTCCGGGAACTTGCAGGTGCCTTGGTAGAAGAGTGGGGTAACATCTCACATCAAGAACTGGCAAATCTGGTGCAGTCCAAGAGGAGGAGATGCACTGCAGTACTTAATGCAGCTGGTGCCCCCCCCCCCTTTGTTCAGGGACACATTATTCAATTTATGTTAGTCACATGTCTGTGGAACCTGTTCAGTTTATGTCTGTTGTTGAATCTTGTTACTGTTTTCTCTGATATTTGCATATCATATATTGCCAGTACATACATTTTATATATTTCCACAGAGGGCAAGCCGGTGAAGAGGAAGAAGGGTCCAGCCCCCAAGATGCTGGGGAACGAGGTGTGCAGCGTGTGCGGGGACAAGGCTTCGGGCTTCCACTACAACGTGCTGAGCTGCGAGGGCTGCAAGGGCTTCTTCCGCCGCAGTGTCATAAAGAGCGCCCAGTACTCGTGCAAGAACAACGGCCGCTGTGAGATGGATATGTACATGCGCCGCAAGTGCCAGCAGTGCCGGCTGCGCAAATGCCGTGAGGCGGGCATGCTGGAGCAATGTGAGTTGTCTCTTTATGGTTGAGCTACAGTTCCCTGTGGCAGCCATCTTGTTTTTTTTATATACACCTTTATCTTCAAAAGTACCTATGCTTTTTTGGACCTTTTCCTTAGATCTGTCGGGAAATGTAGGGGTTGTGCTAAAAATCAGTAAAATATACACACATTTTAAATGTAGAGATACTGATTGGAGATGGCTTGGCAAGATCTCTAAAAAGCTGACGTACATAATTTAAATTGACCTCCCAAACTATGGGAGTATCTGTCTTTTTCCTACTTTTCATTACTGTGCTGATTGTGTTCCCGGCGTTCCCAGGTGTTCTCTCAGAGGAGCAGATCCGAGGGAAGAAGATGAAGAAGAACGAGGAAGAGAATGCTCGCACGTCTGCCGTGGTGACCCCCACCCCGGTGCCGGAGGTGGTCCCGCTGGCGCCCGAGCAGCTGGAGATGATCGAGAAGCTGGTGTCCATGCAGAAGCAGTGCAACAAGCGCTCGTTCATCGACCGGCCCAAAGTCACGGTGATTGTCTCTGAATGTCCCAACCCTACTAACATATATGCCATGTTTAGATTTCTTAAACAGTTTGGATTGATTGACAGTTGCACTAATGTAAGGATGGGTATGAAATCGTCATCTTGATATGGAGGTGGAATACAACATTTCTGCATTGTGGAGGTGTTTTGTTAAAATTGTGCATGTTCAAAGACATGTTAGCCAAGAATACTGCACAAAATATTGTTACTGTTGAATTTTGGCCAAATGAACTGTTTGTCATCCAGACAATTTTTGGTAGCAGCTCTGAGTACATGGTGAAATCTCTGCATTGCATTAGGTGTTTTTATTTTTTTATTGATGAATTGAATAATTTGTTCATTAATTAATCTATTGATGTCTTTGTCTCCATTTAATTTCTAGCCGTGGCCCCAGAGTCAGGACCCTCAGAACAGGGAGGTGAGACAGCAGCGCTTTGCCCACTTCACCGAGCTGGCCATCATGTCGGTCCAGGAGATAGTAGACTTTGCCAAGCAGCTGCCTGGCTTCCTGGAGCTCACCAGAGAGGACCAGATTGCCCTGCTGAAGACCTCAACTATTGAGGTGAGTCATCGTTTTCTCCTCACCGTTTACCTTCTTTCCCCTCATATTCTCATACAGGTTTGTTAAAGTGGTAACTACAGTAATAACAAATGCCGGCTTGATGTTGTCTTTCGCCTATTAAAAAAAAAAATATACACTTATAGTCAAGACCACTGGGAGGGGGGGAATCATCTGGCTCTATATCATTAGGTATCATTATGTTGGTTTTCAGGAACACATGTCTCAATATGTCAAGTAGATTATCTACTTTGCAGGATGTCACTGAGATGTGCCTTGTTTTTCTGCAGATCATGCTGCTGGAGACATCGCGGCGATATAACCCTGCCATTGAGAGCATCACGTTCCTGAAGGACTTCAGTTATAACAAGGAGGATTTTGCCAAAGCAGGTACAATATCATCTTTTGTTTGTCTGAGATGTTCATGATCCACATTCAAGCTGCAATCAGTCAAAAACAAGCTACTCGCCTTCAACTCCCTCTTGTTCTGTTTCCGCACTCCAGGGGCTCCCAACCTTTTTTCCTCAGGGCCCCCTTTTTAACATACATTATGTTGTTTTGAAGCACATTTCCTGCAATTCTATGTAGTTTAACAAGATTCATGACATCTTTTAGGTAGGCTATTTGATGATGATATTATTATTATTATTAATAAAAATAATAATGGATAAGGAAAATTAAGTCTACCCGATTACACCAAATGTTATTCCGCTACCAAATGTTTTATTATTATAATTTATATGAACACTCAATATAATTATACATGTTCTCTTTTACAAAAAGTGAATAGATCAATTGAAAGCGACAGTCACACACATAAGATTACTTCAATTTCTTTGACTCGACTTTAGAAGGTCGTAGCTCAGCTTCTGAATGTCATGGAGACAAACCAAAGATATCACCATGTGCATCAGTCGTGTCTTCCCTGACATTTTACATATATATTTTTTTACTCCTCAAATCAAGGAAGGTCCTGCGCCCCCTCCAGGAAACTTTGGCGCAACCCCTAGGTTGGGAACCCCTGCCATACTCTGTAGAGACATTGACCTCTTACCTTTAACCCATATTTGTATCCATCTCGGTCTGTATTTCCCTCTCCCTCTGTCTCTCCTTCTCTCTCATCCCCCTCAGGGCTGCAGTTGGAGTTTATCAACCCCATCTTTGAGTTCTCCAAGGGCATGAACGACCTGCACCTGGACGAGGCGGAGTACGCTCTGCTCATCGCCATCAACATCTTCTCTGCAGGTCAGAGGTCAAGTGGTATGCTAGTGTGGAACAGAGCCCATATGCAAGGTCCCTTTATTACAAAGGTCTGGACATCGACGTAATCATTAGGGATTCATTGACGTGGATATTCTGGGCCGATACTGATATTTAATATTGTCTTTGCAATATCGATTTCTAGTAATCATATGCGGAAGCTTCCAAAAAACAAACAATTTCATGAGAACAGCGCTGTTTTAAAGATTCTACAGGGTTTGCAGTGAGAATATGACCGGGGTCAGGAAATTAAGTGAAACGGTGGCTGTAGATGTTTTGAAAAACTTCTTAATAAATAGAATGACAGTAAAAAAGTTAATGATATGCCTTCAGAAAGTATTCATACCCTTTGACCTATTTCAAATGTTGTTACAGCCTGAATTCAGAATGGACTGAATAGATTATTTTTCTCACCCATCTACACATAATACCCACATAATGACAAAGTGAAAACAAGTTTATTGAAATTGTTGCACATTTATTGAAAAATTTAAAATATTTACATAAGGATTCACACTCCTGAGTCAATATATGTTAGAATCACCTTCGGCAGCGATTACAGCTGTGAGTGTTTCTGGGTAAGTCTGTAAGAGCTTTGCACACCTGGATTGTACAATATTTGCACATTCTTTTTAAAATTATTCAAGCTCTGTCAAGTTGGTGGTTGATCATGGCTAGACAGCCATTTTCAAGTTTTGCCATAGATTTTCCAAGCCTATTTAAGTCAAAACTGTAACTAGGCCACTCAGGAATATTCAGTCATATTGGTAAGAAACTCCAGTGTATATTTGGCCTTGTGTTTTAGGTTATTGTCCTGCTGAAAGGTGTATTTGTCATCCCAGTGTCTGTTGGAAAGCAGACTGAACCAGGTTTTCTTCTAGGATTTTGCCTATGCTTAGCTCGGTTTCTTTTTATCCTAAAAAACTCCCTTGCCGATGACGAGCATACCCATAACATGATGCAGGCACCACCATGCTTGAAAATATGAAGAGTGGTACTCAGTGATGTGTTGTTGGATTTGCCCCAAACATAACGCTTTGTATTCAGGATATAAAGTTAATTTATTTGCCACATTTTTTGCAGTTTTACTTTAGTGCCTTACAGGATGCATGTTTTAGAATATTTTTTTATTCTGTACACGCTTCCTTCTTTTCCCTCTGTCATTTAGGTTAGTATTGTGGAGTAACTACAATGTTGTTGATCCATCCTTAGTTTTCTCCTATCACAGCTATTAAACTCTGTTTTAAAGACACCATGTTGGCCTCCTGAGAGGCGCAGCGGTCTAAGGCACTTCATTGCAGTGCTTGAGGCGTCACTACAGACCCGGGTTCGATCCCAGGCTATGTCGCAGCCGGCTGCGACCGGGAGACCCATGAGGCTGCACACAATTGGCCCAGCGTCGTTGGGGGAGGGTTTGGCAGGGCGGGATATCCTTGTCCCATTGCGCTCTAGCGACCGGTTAAGTGAGCAGTGGGTTAAGTGAGCAGTGTGTCAAGAAGCAGTGCGGCTTGGCAGGGTCGTGTTTCAGAGGACACATGGCTCTCGACCTTCGCCTCTCCCGAGTCCGTACGGGAGTTGCAGCGATGGGACAAGACTAACTACCAATTTGGATATCATGAAATTGGGGAGAAAAATTGGTTAAAAAAAAAATGTAAACGCTAAAATAAAACAAGACCCCATTGGCCTCATGGTGAATTCCCTGAGCGGTTTCCTTCCCCTCCGGCAACTGAGTTAAGAAGGACGCCTGTATCTTTGTAGTGGCTGGGGATATTGCTACACCATCCAAAGTGTAATTAATAACTTCACCATGCTCAAAGGGATATTCAATGTCTGCTTTTTAATTTTTACCCATCTACCAATAGGTGCCATTCTTTGTGGTTGAATCTGTGTTTGAAATTCACTGCTCGACTGAGGGACCTTACAGATAGTATCTGTATGTGTGTGGTACAGAGATGAGTTAGTCATTCAAAATCATTTTAAACACCATGCAACTTATTATGTGAATTAAGCAAAACATTTTTTTACTCCTGAACTTATTTAGGCTTGCCATAAAGGGGTTGAATACTTATTGACAAGACATTTCAGCTTTTCATTTTCAATTAATTTGTAAGAATTTTGAAAAACATAATTCCACGAAACATAAATCTAAATTGAAATCCATTTTACATTCAGGCTGTAACACAACAAAATGTGGAAAAAGTCAAAGGGTGTGAATACCTTCTGAAGGCACTGCATGTGTTTGCTGAGGAATTCACTACGAATGTTTATTTTCCACTTTGATGGTGAACTTTCCGTACCGCTACCATTCACTCCAAGTTATTTTCACTCGCCTCGCTGGTCCCTTTGTTTAGAATTCTTCCGCATTTATGCAAAGAGTTATGGGATATCAAAATATTAACGTCTTGATCTGGGTACTACAGAGACCTTGCCCATATGTAGGAAGTAACATTCAACAGATCAATGCATTCTATTGTATTGAGTATAAAACGTTAAGCTGTTTTTGTATGTTCCCCAGACCGGCCCAATGTGCAAGACCATGAACTGGTGGAGCGACTGCAGCAGCCGTACGTGGACGCACTACGTTCTTACATCATGATAAAGAGACCAAACGTGAGTGCCCTAGTTATATATGATTTAACTTGCACAAGCCGCCATGTGTAGGTTTTGAGGATGTTTCGGTTGTCACATACACACTTGAGTCCGTGTTGAGTTGAATTCCATTTTCAATTCCAGTCAGTACAGGAAATGTATTGAAATTCAGGTCATGGGTGGGAAAATCATAATTGAAAGTAAAAGGAAAATGTTAGGTTTAAAAATACAAAATGTAATGGTTCCCCAACCCTAAATGATGAGCGGGGTTAAATTAACCTCTCTTCCTTCTAGGATCACCTGATGTTTCCACGCATGCTCATGAAGCTGGTCAGCCTCCGCACCCTCAGCAGCGTCCACTCTGAGCAGGTCTTCGCCCTGCGCCTCCAGGACAAGAAGCTCCCGCCGCTGCTCTCTGAAATCTGGGATGTCCACGAGTGACTCCGCCGACGGCCCTCGCGGAACTCTGCCGCGCTTTGCAAACCTGCGTACTGGGATGGACAGAAACATTAGGGCCGTCTTTCGAGTGTCGAAAAAAAGACTTGAGAATGAAGTGAAGCCTCCCAGGCTACCCAAACACGGCGGATCAAACCTACAGATTGGTTGCCAGATTGAATCGGTTGCCAGATTGGAGGAACTTTTTTCATTTTTTTTCTATATCTTCTGTGCAGTTTGGCAGGATAGTGATGGCCCTCTGTCCTGCAGACTGGGACACTAATCTCATGGGGGAGGTTGGGGCATAGAAATGGAATGAATAATTGGTAATTCTATTTCTATGGGTTGAGGATTGTGCATACCTGGTTTCTCTCCCCCCCCCATTCCGTTGTCTTAAAGGTGAGACGGGCTTGTGGTGAGATTGCGCTACAATGGTCAGTTTGGCTCAGACTTGCTAGCCAGTGTTGACCATTAAATCTATTGATATCTGTTGATAGTCAGTCTCGTGATAGGCCTATCTATAACGACAATTGCCATGAAGCTTCGAGAAGGTTTTGGCAATGGCACCCTCCTCTCAGATCCACATCATGGATGATAACCCCATAGTGAAAATAAAGAGAAAAATACATGTTAAAGCCCTGTGTTGCAATGGGATAGGATACAGAGGTATCCTAACTGCTGCCCAATGTTAAGAAATGTGTCTTATTGGTGTCCACTGTCCAGATGTATGTTAGAATGGTAGGTCGCCTGCTTGATATTGTTGCGATAGAGCAGTTTAGTAGTCAGCCATTTTATTTGTTCTCCTCTCGGGGAAGTAATAGGAAAGCAATTCTGATTGGTGTTGAATTGTTTAAGGTAAAGTGATTGGAAGTGTTGGTATAGAGATGCGTAGTCCACCACTTTTAAGCGCAGGGCCCCCACCAACCATTTGTAAATGCACTCAAACATTGATTTACATGTACAAAGTATATATTAAGATGACAAAATATATATATATATATAGTATGCCCACAAGTGAAGACATCCATACAAAACGACTGTACAATCAACACTCACTAACGCACGCAGCAAGCATATTTTTTTTTTAAGCATCACTGGATATATGACAGACAAGCTGAGCCCTTCTACACTGGAACAACTTCAACGCTACACTAGGGAGTAGTAAGCTTAGGCCCGGGATGGGCAACTTTGATGCGGGTGGAGGCACAGAAAAACAGAACTCATCATGCAGTGGCTCGTGGGTCTGCGTACCCACAATCCCCCCCCCCCCCCCCAAATTGCACTTTGTGTATTCTATTATTCTAACTCAACAGTAAGTTGAGACCCCGACTGAAATTAGTCCGTGGGCCTACCAGTTGCCCATCCCTGGTCTAGTCATATGTACTGTCCCCCCCCTCCCCCAAATCAGCATGATTCCAGATATCCGAGTGGCATCTTCATCTAAACGTCTAAAATGTGCTTTGCATCCCACAGTCGTTGGAATAGCAAAATAAGTAAAATTGCGCTCCTTGTGCGGGCACTGCAGTACTTCTTCAACGGTAACATTTCTGGGTTACACTTTAACAACTTTCATGAATAAACCATTGTAAATGTTTATTACTGCTTATATACATCTATGAATGTTTACAAATAATAATAATGAAATACTCAATAGTATTACACTATTTATAAATGGTTTAATGATTATTTGTGAATGTTATAATACTATTACCCATTTCTGATTAGTAATGATAAGGCCATTAAGATTTCACTCGACTAAACTCTGTTCATTTTTTTTCATGATGCTGTTTCTATCACAGTCCTTTGTATGATGATGACTTCGCTAATGTGGCACTTTTATTAAACAAACGTTCAGAAGGAATTAGAGAAGGAAAGTGCTTTTTTTTATTTCTGATTGACAGACAGTTTTGTCCATTCCTGACCCCACTTTACAACTCAAATCAGTGTGAAATAGAGAGGAGAGTTGAGGACTCTTCAAGACAAAATGGGGAGGTTATCATAACAGTTGCACAATATGTCAAAGTAGCACAGAGACAAGGGAGTACGCTATATGGAACAATTACTAGATGGAGCTTTCAGTTAAGAGAAGAAAAGCAATGGAATTATGTAACAAATACGATCATGTGTTATTAGGGTTGGCGGTATCCTATTTGTAGTTTGATGTCAACCATCAGGTTATTATGGCTATTTGTTTTATTTAGTTGGGTTGATATTGAGACTGTGATTGTGTTTGATGGAGCTGACTCAACCTGAATATGGTTCTTCTACACTTCCCTGGGCATGCGTGTGTGCAGCCATCTATTTTCAATTACTCTTGAGACCCAAATGGCAAAACTATACAATCTCGGTTTTAATTATTTTTCCCTTCAATATGTAATTCATACCAGCGAATGATTGTCTGCATTAAAATTACATTATTTCAGTATTTTCAATATGAATAGAAAACTAAGCATTAATACAAGGTATGCGATTAATGGTATGAGGTCTTAGGTCTAAATGATGTTTTCAGTTGTTTGGAAAACACAATGTTCCTTGAAATGATTGTTAATACTGTAGGTAACTGAAAGTTGATTGTAACAGTCTGGTGTGCAGAACTCATTTAATTCCCTTCTCTACATCTTAAAGGGTGAAGCTGTAAACAGTATTTACATAGAAATGCAAACTTATTTGATTATTTTTTTAAAACACTTTAAGACCTTGTATATTCTGCTTTATATGTATAAATTAAAACCTGACAAAAATATTGTAGCCTATTGCCAGATTATATATTTGTGTCCGAACTGAAACGAAACCACTCATTTTCCCGATTTGTTTTATTACAATTTCAAAGTGATTTGAGTTAAGCTTATACAACATCAATAAATGGTGTAATTCTCTCCTAGTTTTTTTTTCAATATGCTGCTTTTTTATTTGTATTTTTTTATTTCAACACTAGTTAAATGTATCATGGCCAGTAAACAGGTATTGGGAATTTGTTTACCCACACTTATTTGTTGGGTGTTCTGTGGTCAAATAGCCACAGAACTGTGGACTGCTCTATTATTTAATTTTTATCAGAAGAGCTTGTAAAATACAGAATGAATTTGGGAAAGTTGGAAACGCTACCTTGGCATTTTACTGAATTGACAAGTATTTACTGTATTACATAGCAGGGCTTCATGCAATTATAGTTCTAGTCCTTTCAGGGTCTATTATTTTCTTGTCATTTAAATTATATACTTAGTGACAGCTCCCAAATATACTGAACAAAAATATAAATGCAACATGTAAAGTGTTGGTCCCATGTTTCATGAGGTGAAATAAACAATCCCAAAAATGTTCCATAAGCACAAAAAGCTTATTTAGCTCATGTTGTGCACAAATTTGTTTACATCCCTGTTATTGACCATTTCTCCTTTGCCAAGATAATCCATCCACCTGACCGGTGTGGCAAATCAAGAAGCTGATTAAATAGCATGATCATTACACAGGTGCACCTTGTGCTGGGGACAAAAGGCCACTAAAATGTGCAGTTTTGTCACAACACAATGCCACAGATGTCTCAAGTTTTGAGGGAGCGTGCAATTGGCATGCTGACTGCAGGAATGTCCACCAGAACTGAATGTTAATTTCTCTACCATAAGCTGCCTCCAACGTCATTTTAGAGAATTTGGCAGTAGTCCAACCAGCCTCAAACCGCAGTCCACGTGTAACCATGCCATCCCAGGACCTCCACATCCGGCTTCTTCACCTGTGGGATCGTCTGAGACTAGCCGCCCGGACCGCTGATGAAACTGGAGTATTTCTCTCTATAATAAAGCCCTTTTGTGGGGGAAGAAAAGGAGGACATAGGCCCAGTGGGTGGGCCTATGCCCTCCCAGGCTGCGCCCCTGCCCAGTCATATGAAATCCATAGATTAGGGCCTAATTTATTTATTTCAATCGACTGATTTCCTTATATGAACTGTAACTCAGTAAAATCTTAGAAATTGTTGCATGTTGCGTTTATATTTTTGTTCAGTATATATTGTAACGATGACTAAAGGTACACTAAGCAAGTTTTAGTTGCTAATGAATTCAGTGTTGACTATGTTTTTTCCTTAAACTATACAATCCTTAGAATTTCTTGACAATATTTCTGGCCATTTAGGGGACCCTCTTATTGCATGAATCTGAAACCACTGTGAAATTAGCCACATTAAGCTTACCAGTCAAGCCACTATGTGTATTGGACATTCATATTGCACTGTACAGCCTTACCTATGGATTGTGGATCAATGAAATGGGGTATCAGTTTACTCAGTGACACCCACAGAACACAACTGTGAAGGATTACACAAATATTAGTGTCGTAGCTCATATTGCGGGACTTTGACTGTGGTAAATCACCTCCCCGTCAGCCTATTGTGAGTATTGACATTCATATTGTACTGTACAAGTGATTAGCCACAGTCAATGTCCTGCAATAAGAGCTACACAGCTAATATCTGTGACCCTGGGTGTCACTGAGTAGACTGATACCCCATTTCATTGATCCACAATCCATAAGTAAGGCTGTACAGTGCAATATAAATATGCACAATAGGCTGACTAAGCCCACAGTCTAAGTCCTACAATAAGAGCTATGATGCTAATATTTGTGTAAACTATTCATAGTTCTGTGGGTGTCGCTGAGTAGACTGATACCCCATTTCATTGATCCACAAGCCATAGGTAAGTGGCGCAGTGGTCTAAGGCACCGCATCGCAGTGCTAACTGTGCCACTAGAGATCCTGGTTCGAATCCAGGCTCTGTCGCAGCCGGCCGCGACCGGGAGACTCATGGGCGGCGCACAATTGGCCCAGCGTCGTCCAGGGTAGGGGAGGGAATGGCCGGCAGGGATGTAGCTCAGTTGATAGAGCGTGGCGTTTGCAACGCCAGGGTTGTGGGTTCGATTCCTACGGGGGGCCAGTATATATATAAAAAAAAAAGGTATTCACTAACTGTAAGTCGCTCTGGATAAGAGCGTCTGCTAAATGACGTAAATGTAAATGTAAATGTTTTACAGTGAAATAGGTATGCCACCAATGCAATTCTGAAGTCTTATATATCCACAGTGCGATTTCAACTGATTGTTAAATGTATATAACATTCCCACCTTCTTTAACATTCCCACCTTGTTTAACATTAAATAGTCCAAATATGACATGATTCCACTATTTGTATCCGTTTGCAACACTTTCAATGAGGGACTTTTATTTTGAAGACGAACCGCAAATTCCACTATTGTGGCTAGCTTCACATAGGTCTCACAACCGTACAGTCTGCCCCCACCCGCGGAACTCCAGTCCCTGCAGATGATCTGGAGGAAATGTTATGAAGACAGGTTTTAAACCAATAATCATACGTTAGCAAGCAACTAGCTAGCATTTCACAGGTAAAAATTAGAACGTGTGGATTTAAAGCACACATTGAAGAGCTGCTGAATCACCATCTCTGGAAAATGGATCCAGGATACTAATTACATCTCGCTATTTGAAATACGTGTCAATTCATCTCCTCACTGGCTTTCTTTCTACCACCAACAACATACCAGGCCGACGACGACAGCTAGCTAGCGGGTATTGCTAGCCACCTAGCTAACATACTGCTAGCTACTGGTAAGATGTTCTTGCATTTTCAATTCGTATCTTTCTTGGTAGCTAATTTCACAACTATCACAAGTGTGACAATGTCAGAGTACAGCTCGATCAAATATATTATAATGTTACTTGCCATGGTAAATAAACTTAAAGATAGATAGCCAGCTACTTATGATAGCTAGTAAGTTAGCTAATGCACTCGTGACGTACGTATCAGTGATGGAGTTGGTTTGCTCTGTGTCCTAGAGGATGCTGATTATTTATAGATGGTAACAATCAGCTAAATACTGGAACAACAATTAAATGCAGGTCGTTGTAGATACAATATCCACGTCCTTATTGAAATTGTAATTAAACATGGGACTTTGGAGGTAGCTTTGCTGTTTCACATAATTAAGTAACCTTCACCACTGTTTTCGTCATTATTCCGTCAAGACAACGCGAGGTAGTATCATACCTCAACTCTATCTAGCCAGCAAACCAGGCTATGTAGCTAGCCGAGAAGGGTGCCATTGCGGCCCGCAGTTCGGGGCGTTCCGAACCCCTCTTTATACTTAATATGCCATTTAGCAGACGCTTTTATCCAAAGCGACTTACAGTCATGTGTGCATAAATTTTTGTATGGGTGGTCCCGGGGATCGAACCCACTAC